GAATACTCGATCATTATATCCTGATAATCAACAGATTACTCTATCAAACACGGACGGATAGAACGTTTCGAATCGCGAAATTTCTTCTCTCGCGTCCCGATTCTTCCGCGAGGCGATAATTGAAGGCGGCGGAAGTTAGAATTTGCTTTCGCGCAACCGTCGGTGTACGATCTTTTAATGAAAGCCAGCCTTAAGTTCCCAAAGCTCTGTTTCGCCGGTCGATGCGAGATATTAAATAGTCGTCTCCTCTCGGCGCGGTTCAACGAGAGGCGAGCTCGCCCATTCGTCACGAAGTAATTTCTTCCTCTGCGAGAGTCTGACGCCCCCGACCCGACCACACCCTGTGTTCCATCTTCTGTTTCGAAGTCGACCCGGTGTTGTTCAAATATTCACGGAAGTTCACCCCGCCGCGAGAAGTTTTTAAACACATTCATGGGACGACTTCGTTCGACGCGAAAGACGAAACTTCTCGTTTGCCGGCGGAAGTTCGATCGGTGTGCCTTTCGATGCTATTGAAAAGACATTCGCGAAATCTCGAAGATCAAAATCAAGCAAATTTTCACACGAAAAATGGGAGAATGGAGATCCAAGAGAATTACCGCGTTTCTTGCGTCGAGATTTTCAAGATGGCGGAAGAAGTCACGGGTCGAGTCGATAGAAAATTTGTCCAGGGTAGTGTCGTTTATTTTGTTTCGAAGAAACGTTTTCTCGACTTATTTTAAACTCGCTATTTTGTACAGGAGAAATAGAAAAATGGAAATCCAAGAGAATTATCGCGTTTCTTTCGTCGAGATTTTCAAGATGGCGGAAGAAGTTACCGAGTCGTGTAAAATTTGTTCAGGGGACCGTTATTTATATTTTCTCGAAGAAACGTTCGCTGTTTCGATGGATTCGCGTACGTTTAATTGCAACGTGGTCCGGTTTTGCGCGTGTAACACCTCGCTGATGGACAAAAAGGAAACCCTGCAGTGGCTCCAGTCGCCATCGCATGCAGACACCGTTATGCATGTCGTACGTGCGAACGAAAGGGACATACCCGCGGGGAATGCAATCGCGAAGCGAGAAAATCAGCTTTCGCAGGGGTTCTCAACCCGGTGCATCGAGCAGACGCGCCGTCGAACGAACCGGGCGACGCTTTGACCTGGTTAAACTAATTGTCCCCCATCACCGGCGACTCGAAACTTTTCATTCTTCCTCGCGTCGAATTTTTCGTCGCTTACTTCTGTTATACCAGTTGCGCGTGGAGACGGAAACTTTTACGAAAACCGACCACCCATGCTCCATCTTGGAGAAACTGCAGGCAAACGTAGTCCAAAATATTGTAATAAAACACCAGACTTTCGACTCGTTAACAACATATGTATCTTAGATTTGAGTTTCGATGCATCGAGATTGTAAATCTCGAACGTCGATAACCGTGGTTTTAGAAGATGGCTAAAAGTATAGTAAAACGTCGATAGAAATAACGTTTCGTCTGTTGTTTTGGTTGAAATTCGCTGGTCACAGGGCCGTAGAATGCGCTGGGAGGATCTAACGATCGGAATGCACGCATCTGGGAAACCCGAGTCGGGATCAAAATGGCGATTTGCACGGGGTCAATTTGTCTCGCGATTAAAGGGTCAATTGAAAGTCACGTAAAGTGCGACCCAGGGACGTCGATCGTACGAGAGAAAAAAGGAACGAGACGTTCTGCCGTATAAGTCTCCCACAGAGAAAAGGGAGAGTGTAGGAGAAACACGGAACAGGCTGCAACTTGATGCGGCGGCCAACCGGTAGTGGAAAAGAGATCAGCCTTAAGCGTGGCCCTTTGCCCTCGAAACCGTCGGCCACGTTACGAAACAGCCGTTTTAAACATGGACGGGACGCCATGGAAGTCGAGAAAAGTGGAAAACGTGTGTCACGATGCTCGCAGCCGCGTGATAGGGATTATTCCAACATCTTACAGGCGTTTAATACATACATACGTATTACGGAAACACGATTATTGCATCGTACGAATATTTTTTAAAATAAGATATTTTTGAGGAACCTGGGGCATGGATCATTCTTTTCCATATTTCGTTTAGGAATCATTGATACTCTTGTGGAAATGTGAATCTTCTACACTGATTTGGGTTTTCGAAATAACAATTTACAGAGAGACTGTTATATCATATATAGAAAATTATAATTAATCGAAGGAACATTTTAAATTGAATACCATTAATAAAATATAAAATTGCTACCTTTATTTTTCACTTGCATCTCAATTCTAGTGAATATCGATCACTGTGGTTTGAAATGAAACTTTAAGAAAGAAAGTAAGATTTAAAAAAAAGAATCAATGCAGTATACTTGTTACGCTATCCAATGTTTATTTTTCTATCACTATCCTTTCAATAACAGAAGAGATTGGTAATTCGATATTTCCAAGAGCATTTCCATCGTTTCGAATAAAGAATTATTTCGAAGCAGTTTCACGTAATAAGATAGCGCAACTTTATTTCGAAAGCGAAATAACCGTGATACAGGAGACGTTATTTGAAATAGTATTTCAAAATATCGTTATTTCAAAAGTGTCCAGGTCTGGGAAGGATGTAGGTCGCTGGAATAAAACACCACCCATGTGTTTGCTCGACGTCGGTAGATATCGCTGGCAATCGCTCGCAGCGTAACCGCAGCCTAAAGGTGTAAAAATGATTACTCGACTTTCTTATTAATTTATTTTTGCTAGCATGTTACGTTCCATCGAAAACGACAACAGATTCGTCGCCAAACGATTTTATTACACGAAACTGTGGCGGGTAGCTTCAACCCTTAAATTTGATTCTTGCATTTTGCTTATTTTTAAACATGCAAACGTTTGAGAGAGATCGAGATCGAGCTTTTCATGTTTATAAACAAAACTTGATGAAGACAATGATTAAACAACAAAAACGAGAAGCCTGGAGGGAGACTTCACGTACCAGTAGCTCGATAACGAGATCACTGTCCGCCATTTTCCTGCACGAACACCTCCGACGGAAGCTAAATGGAAAAGGGCATTTAAACAATGCACTGTACGTAAATCGATAACAGTCGGAAGAGACACTGTTATCAAATGTGACATTTGCGATGTTCCATTACGTATCGATCATTTTGAAGATTATCATACCGATTAAAAAATGTTAGTATCTATTGTAAGTTTGTACAGCTATCCTAAAAAATAAATATTTATAATTTTATATTATTTTAAAATATCGTATGATTTTTTAAAGATTTTCACATTTAGAGTGATCATGCAAACGGGTTAAAACCCAGAACTTCTCTGAAACAGTTTGCAAGGATCCAAACAAATCCAAACTATCGATCGAATAAAATTTTCCGAATTCAAAATAATTAACGCGATGAGATATTGTTTTCTTCTCGTATCGTAACGAAGGGGATCGTAAATACCCCGTGTGATCGAAGTAACCCAACCTCGCCCCACGTTCGCGGCTCTCTTTCGAAGCAGCCTGTGCCCGCGAGACGAAAATAAAATTCAAATTCCGCCTCGATCCAGCGGCTAGAGACGCCGATCGGCTAGCTCGCGAGCGCGATTATTTAGCAGGTATTTTCAAGGCCTCGAGTAACGTCGGCCATGCCGTTTCACTGGCACATATAGCGTCTATCCGCAACCTGTCCCGCGACCGTTATCGCGCTTTAATATCGCCAGCTTATCGTTTACTGGTTCCCAGTGCGTGCGACACCCGCACGCGTCCACGCGCGGCCGTCGTTGCAACCTGCAACCTGCGTTATTACATAACGCATCATTCACGGGCCCCGCAGTTATGCGCGCGAACTAGGTGTTTCGAAAGTAGTCGCGCTACTCGTGGCTGATTAGACGCCCAGAGCGTCGTTGGACACCGTTTGGGCGCCTAACGCGACGTTATTATTAGATTGAACTCGGTGTTCGAACGCGTTGATTTGTGGGATTGTGATAGATCGTATCAGCGTGGCCAAGTAAGGGACGGAACGTGGCGAACACCGTGGTGGACCGACGAAGGACTCGTCTTCGCCGAGCAGCTGGCGTCTGATTCGCTGGAATCGTTTCACGGGTGCACCTGGCTCGCTCGTTCGCATTTCATTTACAAAACGAACCCCCCAATTTGCGATCGAAACCTCGGCGAACGTTCGGCATCTCGAAATAAACATCAATCGAAACCACAGCCCCGATGTTCGTCGAATGCTCGCGAATAGAAACGTTCCAAGCAGTGTTTATTTGTTTTTTTCATTTATTGGAAATTAAATACAATCTTTGTTCCAATGAATAATATCTCTTCTTGAACAAAATTTTTCACCAGAAAAGGACCACAACTGAACCAGCAACGAGTTTTGTATAAATCATTATTTATTGCTAAGAGTGTAAGAGAATATTAAAAAATAAAATTATTTTGTACTTGAATTTCAGTTCTTCAGTATACGTTTTGAGAATTTATTTATTGCGCTTGCTCAATAATTTCCTAGCGATTTCTTCGTAAAACCTAAAAAAGGTAACACTGATCTACACAAGACTTGCGATGATTGGTTCAGTTACGCTCCTTAAATATAGATTTGCAATATGTCGCAATACATCGATCAATCTCCCAGCTTTCTTTTCGTTACGAGCGAGATGTCCTACGACGTCCACGGATTTTCACAATCCATTAATCCTAGAAAGCGACGTCGCCGTTGCAGAGAGAATCTAGATTTCGAGAGAAAAAAGTGGCACGATTTCTTTCCCCTGCGCGGCAAAGACAAAGCTCCTCGTCGTTGTTTCGAGCACCTCGAAAACCCCGTAGAATCGTACGGGAGGATGCTATATTTACTTTCGCTTTTCGCTCGCGCCCCGCGTCGCGGAAAAGAGGGAGCTCTCGTTGCGCCAGGATCGCGCGCCCCAGCCCCGACGGTCCATCGATTTTCCTTTCGGACCGACGACTGATGAAAAAGAATTCTTTATTCTTCCGTCGGAGGCTGCAGGCCAGGCGAGTAAAAATATAATGTCACGCGGCTGGACGACTCACCTCTGGGTGGTGCTGGTGGGGCCCTCTTCGGGGTGTCGTCCGCAGAAGGTGTTCTTTCCCTCATGCTTTCCTATGGGACCCCTTAGAGCCACCATTTAGGCGTACCCATATGCCACGTCCTCCTGAAACATATCGGAAACAAGGATCTTGAGAGGCTCGTTCCTCGGTGCAAATACTCTCATTGTCGATGACCACCGCGTTCTTTCAATTTTAACAATCGTCACTGAGATTCCCAACCCCTTCGCGAGAACCGTCGAAGTTGGAAACCGAGAAGCAGTGCATTGGCACGAGTGAAGTTAAGCTGTTATTCTAGCTCGTCGTCGGTTCGCGAGAACAGTTAACGTATTGCTACGTGCCTCGGAGTACAAGAAAGTCGCGAACGTAGTTCAGCGCGATCTCGTCATTTCAGTAAGGATCGTGGAATGAAATCACGTTCGCTCTTGTTTTTCCGTAATAATAGAAACTCGGCCAGTTATTGGCATGCACGTGTGTGCGATCGAGAAACAGTGACGCGCGAACTAAACTAATCAAAGTGAGCAAATAAAAGTCGAAACGCCGAATCCTCGCGATCCACTCGATACACTTCTCGTTCCAATAAGCACGGAAAAAGCGGGGGCGGCGGATTCTGCGCGTCGCGGGCAACGAAAAACCAGAGGGGCCTTCGCATAATCGGAGCAACGGTGGTATCTGGCAGGTGATATCGCGAAGCTCGTGCTCATCGCGATAGAGTTTCACAATTTTCATCAATATTCTCTCGATATAAGAATCGAACTCTCATTCGTCATAAGTGACAAATTTGACACTAACACCTAGCAAAGGGAATCATATAATTGTATAACTCGCTTTCAGTGGTTTGAAGACACAAAAACAATGGGGAAAAGTACATACAACCGTTTACTCTATTTCATTTTTGAGCTTAAAACTATTGAGATATTTTAAATTGGGGTTCCAGAACTTTCATCAATATTCTCTCGATATAAGAATCGAACTCTAATTCGTCATAAAAAATTTTAAGAGTGACTTTTTCCACATTTACAAAACAAGAAACGCCTGACAAAGAGAATCGTATAATCGATTAAATAAATATTTGTCCAATACAGATCCCGGAGATTTTAATGCGTGAAACTGACTTTCAGTGGGTTTGGGGCACAAAAACAAAAGTTCACCGAACCGTTTGTCCTGTTTTATTTTTTAACTTAAAAATATCTGTTTGTTTTATTGCTAATGTTGAAACACACGAAACCTGTCAAGTTTAATGAAATACCTGGTTTATGTGGAAGGTTGAAAAACTATGGCGCGACGTCTGCAGCCTGACGGTGGCCATTTTGAACACTTCCTGCGAAGGTAAACAACTCTACATGACCGGAGTACAAAAATGGCTACAACTCGGAAACAAGATTAACTGGGGCATATGTTTATAAGCATTTTTCATCGTTCTTGATACTGTATAAATAACAAATAAAGTGGGTTGATAAATAAATATATTTAAAAAAAGTAAAACTCATTTTCCCTGTACGGATCCTATAACGCAAATTACACGATGATCAATGTGTTCTCGACGATTGTGTAGAAGTTAAATTACTTTCGGTGATACTCGCAGTACACCCTGTATACACGATGTTTTCTAATAAGTGGCAGAGTTGACCACTTCTCGTTCGGGTGACAGATAACAAATAATTATGGATACAAGTTCGTCAAGATAACTGTTACTGGACTAGAAGATAGACGGTATTTCAAGTGTCATCTAATCTCGAATAATCTGTTCCTTCTCGATAACCAAATAATCCGAAATTCGGACAGACTCTTGCCATTACTCAACACTGTACGCCCAGACTTAATTACTCTTTATTCGACGTACTCGTAATTTACCAGAGATACAATTTACAAAACGCGAACGATTCTTGTTAAAAATAGCTAGAGAGCCTTTCCGGTATCGCTGAATGAGCTGCTCGCAATGATTCACCCTTCAAGCTTTCAAGAATGCTAAAAGTTCACGTCTTGCAACAAATCACACCGGCGTGAAACGAAATCCAACTGGAAATTAGACATATCTGCAAGAACTGTTTGTGTTGTCTGATTAGCACTCTTTAGTCCAGATAATTGATACGTAACGAGAAATAGAAAGCAGCCCAAAGATGTACCAAATGATTTGTAAATTCGCTAAGTAACGCGGAGAAATATTTTGTTATTGGTTGGTCGTTGATGCACTCGAAAAAAAAAAAATCAAAAAAGCTGCTGCATCGAACAAATGTGCTAAACACTGTTCGTCGACGTGAAAACTAAACAACGATAACGACGGAACGCGCTCGTTTCTATCTCGCAGTGCATGCACGCGCGCGTGCATCCATAATCAAGGCCAGTGGTGCTCCATTACCAATTTCCATCGCTATTACCATCAATTTCCGTGAAACGACAGACGTTTCGTATTATCGAAATGTTGCACGAACAAACAGCGGAGCCCTGGCGGAGCTTGGGTTAATGCTGTCGGGACACTGTCCGTTGGTACAGCGGTTCTCAACCAGCCTCCTCGCAAATCTCTACGATTTCTCAGAGGACTCGATTCTTTTTAATTTTATTAGATGATATAAAGGATAGGTGCAGAAGGTATAATTTATTCGTAAATTAGAATCTAAAATTTATATTCGTTATTCGCGTATTAGATTTAACCATCTGTCAGAGGGGTTATCGTTGCAATCAACATTTAAGTTTAATGATATATTTAAAATGATCAAAGTTTATATTATATGATAAATCTACTAAGAACGGGCTTAATGAGTCTCAAAGAGAAATGAGTAATAAAATACAACGTTTAAAGTGTATTAATAAAGACAGTTATTTCCGTAGTACAGTGTTATTTTCTGACAAAGATAAATACAATGTAAAGCTGCATAGAGAAAGCAGACACCATTATACCCGAAACAGACAACAGTGGAATACAATGTGAGGCAATGTGTCTTTATTATGATTTTCCATCGAAAAGAAATTTCTTTGGGATTTGTGGAAAATTGACGTCAGTATTCTATTTATAGGGCAGGTAGTGGCATTAAGAAACGAGACGGTTTCCTCGTTCGATAAAATATGTTCCAATGCAGGATATAGAATGCAAACGTGAATTTAATTTGAGAGAAAAAAAATAATAATTCGATGGCTAATCGGTGATCGTTCGAACATCGAAGATCATCGTTCATTGGGTGATATGAACGGCGGTTCTCGGTTGCGCTTCGTATAATGGGCATAATTGTAGCAACTGGCGATCCGTTATTAGACTTGTCGCTTCTTGAGAACCGTAGAGGCCACGTATCGCCTCGACAGTGGTGCTCAACGCGTCGTTGGCCGACATCAATGGCTGCTGCAGACACGTTTCGCAGCGGAGACGATAAATTTTACTGGGGGACCCGAAGAGGCCATCCTATCGGCCATTTTCGAAGCGTTTGAATTCGTAACAAACCGAGCAAAATTTTGAAAAAACTCCACACTCGAGCAAACGAGGCGCATAATTTACATCGGGCGTTAGACACGATCATTTTCTAGCTCTCTGCGTGGCTTAATGAATTCAACGTATAAGGATGTATGTTTTATACGAAACGTTAAATCGTCGGTGGTAATGAGAATAGTTTTCTTTTAGTACAAACTTGGATTTAGAGATCTGTAATGGTTCAGATGGCGAGAAAAAAGTAACGCAAGAAACTTGGGAAAATCTAAAAATCGAACTCAGAATTTTGTTTACTTAAACCAGAAAATTATCTATTCCTCTCTGATATTTAATACGAAGAATAACAAATTTTCTCGAAGAATTCTTTCGAGTACCGTGTATTTAACATGACAATGGTACCTGAATTGCTTCGATCCCGAATGTAAAATGGAATCTGGTGCTTTCCACTCTTATCAGTTTTCCCAAGCTGCTCGTGCACAGTCGGAGTATCTCGGGTCCTTTCGTGGAACATGGTTCGACCGTTCCATTTGGGTGTGTTCGAGCAGTATGATCGCCGTACAGCTTATCATTGGTACGGGAAAAATTTCACTAGTCGAAATTGATTTATTCCAATTACTTTGTACGAATGATAAACTAGGGTTTTAATCGAGAAGCTCGTGAAACCAAAAGACTGGAGAAAGTCTGTGGTCCGAAATCCAGTAGTTTGAAACGATCCAAAGGAGGGAGCAGCTCGTAAAGTATTTTCCAGATGATCCTGTGCCACCGAATTCGTTTAATATGCTAACAGACACTGTCCAGAGGCTAATGACGCGTTCGAACGCTGAATCCCTACAAATCAAAGGTTGTCGAGGGTCTCGGTGTTTGCCTGGAATGCTGAAACGCGGCATTCCGTGCATGGAAAAGCTCGCGTTGCGCCATTGGTCGCTGGAACCATTCCATTTTTCCTCCGGTTACGGTTCTTCCTTTTTTCTTTCCGGCGACCGTAGTATTCGCGAGTGACCGTGATATATCGATCAAATGTCTCCGTTTTGCACTCATTAAAACCGGTTGATACTAATGAAGCGAACCGTTTTCCCCTCCCGCGGACAAGAAAGAGGAATGGGCGCGGAAAGTTTCTGGAAAGCGTTAAACCGTTCTCTCGCGTTGAAAATATCCGTAAACTTTTAGTGTTATGGAAATTGGGTCGCACTGTACCGGGAAACGATGGTTTACGCGTTGGTTCGATCAATATAGAACTCCTTTTTCAAATGTTTATTGGGAAATAATAACCGTTACGTTCAGAAAATGGAAAGAAAATAGGAAATTATATTTTCGAGATTCTAAACGTTGTGTGTAACGATTCGAAGTCGATCCTTTTGGACTTTGGAATCTGCCCTTAACCTCGTTTATCCAAAAAACGAGTGGTCACGTACGCCCAAAAGGGAAGTGTTTCTTAAACAGCTCGTCGAGACCAGCACTCCAAGGTGAGGCTCATTAAAATTGCGTGTTTCCACTTCTGGTCCTCTCCTCGTTAGTACACACGTGTATTGTACTCGATCTTCCCCGTCTCTAAGTTATTCTATTCTATCTCCAAGAAGCACAGAGAGGGAGGCTTGAAAATAGACTGAAAATAGGATTACAGCAACACAAAAATTTCTTTAAAAAAACCATGTCAGAAATATTGTCAGGTCGTTGAATTTGTCGACTAAT